TGTGATCTTGCCCTCGCTACCACCTCATTGTTCTACCGTATATAACGCTCAATGGATAGTGTACAACTTGAATATGAATATAATATTGTTTCATTCTCTGTTGCTTCAGTGAGATCTATGAGTACCATCTGATGCTAGAATGTTAAGTGCATACCTAAGAGTAAAACAGCATAATTTTGAAACTTTGGATGCATTTTTTATTCAGGGGACCTTCTAATGGGCATAATGGGCATATTTTTCATAAATTGCATTATAGTGTCCAAAAATGAAAGCGGGATTGTAATTCTCCGCTTCCGGTCCTCCTATTCCTACATACTGCTATAAATAAAGAATGCAATCAGATCCTGATTGCTCAATATTCCAAGACTACATAGCGTACAAGTGTTGTGACTGAATAGAGGAAGAATGATCTTAAAACAGCATCAAAATATGTTCGAAAGAACAGAAAAAAGAACGTATGTTGTCGGGGGCTGACCACTGCCATCAACATCCATGTTGCCCAAGATCCTAGACAAAAGAACGTACGAGCGTTGTGACTAAATAGAGGTAGATTTAGGTCAACATGAATAGAGAGAAGATTGCATACGTACCACAAGCAAGAGGTGTTTAATAACAAGTCTTGAGCACGGTCGGCTAAAGTGGATTCAGACTTGGGAATAATGCCAGGTAGAGAACTACATACAATCAACGATTGAATAAATATACAGTGCGGCAGATTATGCTTGAAAAGACATGCATTAGTGCTGAATGAAACAAAAGATAAATATTCCAGAGCGTACTATGATGACCACATGCTGGGCGTTCGACCGTTGAGCTAAAACATAGGGCAAAGCATGGCTGACAATGTGAAAGAATATGACTTGAGTGAAAGCATGTGTCAACAAAAAATACCGTACCAAGACACGAGAGAGGACAAGATGGCAGACAAGATGGGAGTCGAAGTAAGAAACCTTCAATCAACAACGAAACACAACATGGCGTGACATGATGACGTTGATTTAGGGCAGGCTCTGGCTTTCGGCCGGATTGACATAACACATCATTATCAAATGCACGCACATTCTACTTATTCCGCATTGCATTCTTGCCTACCTGAAGCCGAAGGGAAGTGTATGTGGCCTTCGGAAAGACGATTCTGACGGGGATCTTCCCAAAAAATAAATAACTTTGGTCAAACTCGCAAATGTGTCATTATTATGCATAGTTATGCAAATTTTGGCAACTAAGTTGCGATTCAGATTGTACTGAAGTGATTATGCCTTCGCAATCTGTGTGAACCCACTTTTTAACTGGTACAGCCAGTTAGTGCAAACTTTGGGTACTAACAAGGACTCTTGACTCCCCAGGAAATGTTGCTTTCTATTGCATAAAATGTAATAATATCACACAACTATGCAAATTTCTGATACAATTTGCCTAACATTGCATAAAAATTGCATTTATGCCTATTTTATGACATTTGTGGCATTTTTGTGAGTTTATATGCTAAGTTTGCATATAAAGCTTTTCCTGATGTGCATCGGCGCTTCACACCTCTCACGCTACTGTGGCTGTACACGCATCTCCCGGGGCCTCAACCAATATCGGGTTCGCTTCGCTCACCCAATAAGCACGTATTCAAGTGCACGTTGCATCTCGAGTATCGTCGGCCAGTTCTGAGTCGTCGCGCGGTGGTACGCAGTTGCTTTTTATAGCTTCGCTCTGAAACTGAATCTTACCCTACTAAGATTATTCTCATCTATTCAAACCCTGGACCTGTCTACATCGCAGACCCGTGTATGCAAATCTATACAACTGCAATCGTGATATTATTTGGCTGACTTCGCCGAACCAAAAACTATTGGCTGACAGTTGATGTTGACTGCCAATCCGCCAAGCAAAATATATTAGAATAATATCTGGGTGCTAAATGAGGTGATCTACCTATGGAGCACGGTGGAAGAAGTGTATTACATACACGGCACGCTCACCCCTATGTACTATTGCTTTTGCTGATAGGAATCGCCTATAAATAATGTTTCCGTATACGCCCGTGAAAAGCAACACGATGTGGCCCTTCACGTCTATTTTGCTGATAGTTGTCGGTACCTTCTGCCATCGACTCGGACTCGGAGGGGTACATGCTCAATCTTTTGTAACAATCTCGACAACTTCGGGAGACCTTCGAGGTGTTGAGCAGGACGGAGGTACGTACACAGGCCCTCACTTGTTTTGTTTTCTTCTGGATGCTAATTCAGAACTCAGTTATATTGTTCAAAGGCGTTGTACGGGGTGGCTCTACTTGAACCATCAGTTGTCTAATTCCTAGGCTGCTTTATTATAGCGGTTTGCAGAAGCTCCTACAGGTCCTCTCCGCTGGGAACCTCCTGTCCCATTCCTCAGTAGCACAACACAAAACGCAACGGTTCTCAGTCCGGCATGCGTTCAGCAATTTGGTTTTGCTACCGCCACTCTGATAGAGTTTCTGTTCAATAATCCACAAGATCCGCCTGCGGAGAATGAGGATTGTTTGTTCTTGTTCGTTTTGTATCCCCTCTTTCATGAAATGCGTCTAATGACTTGAAAATCCCTGCTTAGAAACGTATGGGCACCATCACCTACTTCAAGCACGAAGAAACCTGTAGTGTTCTTTATCTATGGCGGGTAAGCCTTAAGTATCATCGAGTCGGAATTTAGGATCATTATCTCGTCTAGCTCTTTAGCATTCGGCACCGCATCTGTACCACTATACGACGGAACCTCCATCGCTTTGAATCAAGACATCGTTGTCGTTACAATCAACTACCGCACCAATGTTTTTGGATTTCCGGGTGCACCAGATCTGCCTCTTGAGGGGAATAATCTTGGTTTTTTGGATCAGGAGCTCGCACTTGAGTGGGTAAAATTGAATATTGCGAATTTTGGCGGTGATCCCGACCAAAGTGAGTACTTACTACTGAGTATCTCATTACAAGGATCAACTGATGATAAAATCCCAAACCCGCAGTTACCATTATGGTTTGTACATCTCCGCCGTTGAGTACTCTTGATTTGTTCATTGAGTGTCACATGTAGGGCCAATCTGCTGGGGGCTTCTCTGTTTCCGGCATGATCATTCGACACCCCGTTGATCCCCCGTTCAGGGCTGCAATAATCTATTCAGGAGATTCGCCAGATACCACTCCAACTTCCGCTGCATCGTTCACTTCCTTCAACAATTTCGCCAGTGCGGTAGGTTGTGGGGAGATTGTACCTGGCCCGTTAAGACTTGAATGTTTGAGAGCAGTCTCAGCTGCAGATATAAGGACGTACACGAATGGAGCGTCAAGTGGTGCTTTTGAGCCAGTTATTGATAAGTGAGTATCATGTTTCTCCGAGTCAAAAGAGGATCAGACTGATGCCCGCTCTCATTTAGTATAACCACATTCGACGATAATATCCAACGAATCCAAAGCGGAAACGCAGCTAGAGTGCCCTTTCTCACTGGAAACACCCAGAACGATGGAACGTTATTCACCATTGGGGACACCAACCTTACTGCGTTTTTGAACTCTAGTGGCTTTACTGTCGACGGGAATGTTACGGCGGATGTTGTTCGATCGCTTTATCCTGGCCAGAATGATACAGATGTTATCGCAGATGTGTTTAGAGATGTGTCATTCCTTTGGTGAGCTTACTGGGATATTTTTCATCTCATCTACTGACGCGGTATATAGCCCGGCAAGCCTGTGGACTGCAGCGTTCGTCGAATCTGGTATTTCTAGCGTTTTCCGCTACGAATACGGTTAGGGTAACTTTTATTCGTTGATAAATTCTTTCTTATCATTCTCCGTCAATGTAGGAGCTGTATTCCCTGACCTTCAACTCTTCCCCAATGCTGGCGCATGGCATTCTTCTGAGCGTGCGTATAGACTGCATCTTTATATTGATTCAAAACTAATTCCTTTCAAATTTCTTTCCTTCCATTCAACAAACCCTTATTCAATACGGGTCCGCCAGTTCAAGAAGTTTTCGGAACCTACAACGCTAGCACCGCTACCCCAAACGAAGTCACCTTATCCAAAACTTTCCAAACGGCAATCGCCAACTTTATAAAAAACCCAGATGAATCTCCTGCGCCTAACTGGCCGAAATATATTCCGGGTAATCTGACACAGACGCTGGCTAGATTGGCGTATGTGGGGAATGTCGAGACGGATAATTTTGTTCAGGCGGTGACCAGTGACTCGCAGGTTAGTACTAGCAATCATGATCTTTGCGTTTGTGGTGAATAAAATGTATTAACATCATTAACTCGTTTAGGATACTCCGTGTACGCTTTGGGATGCGCTGTTGGATTGAAGCCGGAATCTATGATTGGTGCCAAAGCGTCAAATATCTAGCGCGGCTGTACACTTTATACCCGTATTCTTTCTTGCCATCATCCGCATGGCCACTTAAATCCTCTCCTTTATTCCCATGGGCCAGCGCTGGTCCTTCTCAGAAAGCATGGTTACTAACCCCTTAGCTTGAGTGAAATGGGAGAGCTTTATTCGACCGGTGGGATAGTCTCGTCGCTTCCAGTTGATGACTAGGTTGACATGCTCTACTTTGTAAAACGATTGAGAAGAAGGGTTTACTACATGACATGGCTCGAGTACTGAACGCCGGTTCCAAAGCATCTGGTGGCAAGCACTAGTCTTCTCCAAGCGCTCCAAGCGTCTCATTATTCACCGATGATCCATGCGGATGTCTATATGGATACATCCATACGGATCATCATCTGTATTCGAGTCTGCCTACAGGAGACTATCTGAAAACCCTTACCGACTGTGCCACTGGATGTATTCCCAGATAGCAAGGGCAGCTGGGATAAGGCAAAGTTGGTTAGAAGTGAATGCAGTACATTGTTTTTTTCAGGATCAAAGTCTTCATTGTATGTTAGGCTCAACTACACTTCTTGTTATTCGGTATGATTGATGCGAAAGCGTCAGTCAGATATGTAGAAAAATCAAATTAGAAAGTGGGTCATTCCAAATGAGTACACCGTTCGGGAATCGAACCCGAGCCGCTTGCTCTAACCAATGAAGGGGAGTCTTATGGAAGGCAAGCATGATAACCACTTCACCAACGGTGTTCTCTTATACGAAGAGGCGTGTTTTACTAGTCGTACTTGTCATTGTTGCTTGGGCCAGCGCTGGGCCATCTCGGCATTGATAACTTAGCATGTAAATTGTAATGCCTTAGCTTAAGTGAAATGGCTTTGACCAGTGGGTCTGACATTGTCGATTGAACGATTGCCGACTGCCAATTGACGACCCATATTGAGGAACTCTGCCTTGCTTTTACCTGTATAATGAAGGTCTATTACACGGCATGGTTCGAGTGGCCGAACAACAGTATACAGTGTAGCATGAATAAATTCGCAACTTCTTGTCCATCCATAGACATGCACTTTATCCCAATTTGACACAGAAGAAACAATAGAGCGAAATATGTGCGGTTAATCAAAAGGAATAGGAAGAGTCCATATACAAGTAGCGATACATAACTCTGTTCAAAGGTTTGCCGCGAGCTTCTTCTGGAGCTTGGCCTGCGATGGCTCAGTATCTCGTTTAAACGCTCGAAGAAAACACTCACATTAACAGCATCCATATACACATCCGTAATCACCCAATGCTCCCTCTTCATCTCCTTCCCATGAATCGCCAACGCCAAATCCTTGGTCATCACCCCATCCTCATCAATAACCTCGACACAAGCCTTCTCCAAATCCTCACAAAACACCTTCAACTTGTCGTTCCCATCCAATTTCGCGCGATGTAACAAACCCCTTGTCCAAGCAAAGATCGAGGCAACGGGGTTGGTAGATGTTTCGTTACCTTTTTGGTATTCACGATAGTGGCGGGTGACGGTTCCATGTGCGGCTTCGGACTCGACGACGAGGCCGTCGGGGGTTATGAGCTCGGAAGTCATCATTCCGAGAGAACCGAAACCTTGTGCGAGGATGTCGGATTGGACGTCGCCGTCGTAGTTTTTGCAGGCCCAGACGAAGCCTCCGGAGGATTTGATAGCTTGGGCAACCATGTCGTCGATGAGACGGTGCTCGTAGTAGATACCGGCGGATTCGAATTTGGTTTTGTATTGACTGAGGAGAGCGTTAGATGCGAAGAGAATGGAAGGGAGGACTTACGCTTCGTATATCTCTTGGAATATATCTTTGAACCGACCGTCATACTTCTTCATGATCGTGTTCTTGGTGGACATGAATAGCGGCATCTTCTTGGACAATGCCATCTTGAACGAAGAATGCGCGAAACCTTCGATCGACTGTGTAAAGCGTTAGCAGTAAAGCAAGACAGTCAAGAAACACGCACTTCATCAGTGTTATACATGCTCATGGCAACACCTGGGCCCTTGAATTTGTACACGTCGAGAGTAGTCGCCGACGCGCCATCCTCAGGCGTATAAACCAGCTGAAGCTTTCCAGGTCCAGGAGCAATAAAGTCAGTCGAACGATACTGGTCACCAAAAGCGTGTCTGCCGATGACGATTGGGTTCACCCAACCTGGAACAGGTCGAGGAATTCGGGTGAGGATAATGGGTTCACGGAAGACCGTTCCGCCAATCAAGTTACGGATCTGTGAGGATTAAGCAAATTGTCTGGCGGTTAGGATGGATGAATGGATGGACGAACAGTTCCGTTTGGACTCTTCCACATTTGCTTGAGCTTGAATTCTTCTACTCGAGCTTCGTCTGGGGTAATCGTGGCACATTTGATACCAACGCCGTATTTCTTGATAGCTTCGGCGGAATCGACGGTGATTTGGTCGTTTGTCTGCAGAAAATGCTCAGTTTAGCAGCTTCGAAAGTTGATATTTGTGCGCACCTGGTCTCGAGATTCCAGGCCAAGGTCATAGTATTTAATGTCGAGTTGAAGATACGGAAGGATAAGCTGCAGGTTTTTAACTTCAATTAAAGCTAGAAGGAACTAAAAACACACCTCTTCACGAATCTTTTTCCAAATAATCCTCGTCATTTCATCTCCGTCCAGTTCAACCACAGGATTCTCCACAACAATTTTCTGAAATCCATTTTCTATCAAGCCCAGCAGTTTGTAACCGTTTAAAAGGATAACTGAGGCTATGGAACGCACGTATTCTTGCAGAAGAGGCAAATGTTCGTCTGTGAGATGAAAGAGAGCTCCTAAGAAGATATCCAGAGAGAAGCCCTAGTCTTTGTGTTGCGACCATGCTGGCGATCGGCTGCAATGACAGAATGCCCGACGCAAAGTGTACTCTGATTAAAAGTCCGGTATTCAACAAGCCGAATTCCGACTTGGGAGAGAGAAAGAAAGAAAGCCGGTCGGACTCTCGAGGTAGAAATGGAAAAGAAGACTCGGGCGGGTCAGTGATGGTTCTCAGTCAACTTGAAGTCAGCTTTTATATAGTCCGTTGTTCTCTCTAATCACGGCCATACAGTCATTGTCAGAATCAACATTATTCTTAGCATCTACTAAGCATCTACTGATTCGGTACTGATAGCTATTCAAGGACGAGTCAGCTGGTGCGCCGTACATGTGTGTCGCGACGTTATGCCGTTAAAAGAGCGCGAGGATTTTTAGATAAATGCGTTGACCATGGCCTGGGCCTCGAGCTTCCCTTGCATTTGAGGTTCTTTGCGACAAAACGCTTACCTCGACATTCCGTGCAATCCTCTAGGTTCTCACCCGGAACATGTAGGCGCACTGCAGTGTAGAGAAATGCGGGAAGCTGAATATCGGGAGAAAATCCTATGTAGACTCCTTTGTGCAGCGCATGATGACACCCGATCGGTAACGACAGTGCAAAAATCATATTCTGTTCATGAACTTGAAATAGCGCGCTACATCTTCCATTGCAGAAATTCGTGAATCACGGTTGTTTACTGTAACGCGACAGAACGCTTACCTCGAGCTGTAATACACATCGAAAGCCAGTCTAAAACGCACTGCAGAACAACGATTACTCTGAAGTCCTAAGGCTGATCTTTGAGTCGAGAGAATCCGAGGAATCTGATACTGGAAAAAGAAATACAAGGTTCAGTGCCATTCCGTGGATCTCCAAGAAAGAAAAGTCTACAATGACCAGTTGCACATTCAAGCCCTAAGGCTACGACTCTAAATACTTGCCGGAGCGAGGTTTGGAAGTTTGGGAACATTGAATACGATGCGAATCGTCTCCACTGTTGACGGCATGGACAGGATTGAAGCAGACGTCCAATACCGAGCTTTAACCCCAATCTTCATCGTACACGTTCATATGTATCGTCAACTTTGTAATTAGAGTGCCCTTCAGAATCATTGTCAAGGTAGAATAGGCAGGTCAACTTACCGAAACAAACGACCGACCAACCAAAATACTCATACCCATAGCCATTTCATGTCAAAAGGCTGAAATTGAGGCGGACAACCAGGAAGGTACCAATACTAAAAAGGCAAGGATTATTGGGGTTCTTTTTTGAGATTTCTGGTGACGGAGGGAGTTATAGATATGTGGAAGTCTGGGAAGAGAGCGAAAGAAAAGAGCGCAGAGCAGTGATGATGAGCGTCAAAGTCAAAAAAGAAAACGCTCTCGTGACTTTCATTTTTCTCTGCACACAACTTGATTAAGGCCAAGGTCGGAATCGATATTCTGTTGATAACTGGTCTGTTTATTCCAATTTTACTACTATGCTTTTTCTAGCAACTAATTATTTTGCATTCCCCAGGCGTGATTGCAAACAGGCTCGGAGAAACTTCTAATTAACTCCCGACTTGTTCATCTTCCCAGCAGAAACAGGTAAGAATAGTCTCAAATGGTGCTTCAGGAGGTGAAGAAGCAGGTGGACCATTTGCAGCAGCAAAGTCCAGTATAAGGGATTCAAGCTGGTCAACAGATCTGGGCTAGTCGCTCATGCAGCGCCACCTATACCCGCGCTTTTGCAGTATTGCTGTGTTCCTCTCAGTCCTCCAAGTTGATCTATGTCTACTGATGTTGGCTGATGCATTTTGTGGTATGCACGCAGTGCCTCCAACTCCGACACTGGCGACACTGAAGAAGCAAGCTTAGGATTGCTAGACCAGGTAGTAAAGCTCAGCATAAGGGATCTAAACTCCTCCTAGCTCTGATCTATGTCTAGTGGTACTGGCTGAGGCAACCGCTTCACTTGCTCTGGTGCTGACTGAGACATGTCATTCATTCATTCATTCCTTTCTCTTTCTTTGTTAAGTTTTGGTCAATACTTCTACCCCATTTCACACCTCAAACATAGTGTACTTTTTGTCTCCTTACTTTTCTTCTTCCTTTCTCTCTCGTTGTTGTTGATTCTCCCACAATCTCCGGTCTTGTGTTACCCCCTGTTTCTTTTCCACAACCTCGATGCTTCCTCAACCCATTACTCAACCTTTCTTTATTTATTTGTATTTTAACTCACTCCTTCTTCTGCTACTGTACTTCATCATGTTGCTCTATAGCTGTCCCTTTGGCATGACATGCCGCGCTATAATGGAATCAAAAACAACAACAACAACAAGTCTTTGACTCCGATTCCGCTGGGTTCTCCACTCTCTGAGGAGATTGCTCTGGCACTGGCTGAGGCACATCCGGCTCCGGTTCTGACACTGTTGCTGGATGAGGCATGTCCTTCTTCAGCTCCACCGCCCTAAACAGTGTCTGAGGTGACTTCATCACCTGCTCTGGCTGAGGCACATTCTTCTCCAACTCTGCTGCCTGAGGCAACCCCTTTGTTGGTGCATCAGTTGCTGGCTCTGGTTTTGGCACTGACACTGGCTGATGCACATCCAGCTCCAGTTCCACTGGTGAAGGCATGTCCTTCAGCTCCACTGTCTTAGGCAACACCATTGCTTGCTCTGGCCTTGACACTAGGGCTGACTGAGGCATGTCTTTCTCCAACTCTGCTGTCTGAGGAAACCCATTCGCTAGTGCTTCAGTTGCTGGTACTTCAGTTGTGGGCTCTGGCTTTGATGCTGATGCTGACTGAGGTAGGTCCTCCTTTGGCTCCAGTTCCAATAATATCACTGGCTGAGGCATGTCCCCCAGCTCCACTATCTGAGGTGACCCCATCTGCTCTAGCTCTGACACTGGTGCTGGCTGAGGC